TTGTTGTTTGCAATGTCATCCAGAATCGACGCCAACGAGAACACAACCGACGACACCGCGGCCCATTCGCGGGCGTGTAGCTGGGATTGAAAGTACAGCGACTGCGAATGGCCCTTGTCCTTGGACAACTTGTATCCGTAAATCGTGTTGTTCCAGTACGTCTTGGAGATGGCAAACCTGCTCAACAACGTCGGGTTTTGGGCGGCCAACGCATCGGTGAACTCGTAGATTTGTTGGAAGGTGCGGAAGCAGTTGTGGAACGCACTGGTCGAGTACTGTCCGGCCTTGAGGGACGGGATGTAGTCGGCGTTTTGTTCCTGGCAAGCGAGGTTGGCGTGGATGTCGTCATCGCCTTCGGGTTCAGACACCTCGTTGAGCGAACGAACGCGATCGTCGATGACCGCGATGGCGTTGTTGGTTTGTGCGGTGGCCACCGCCGCGAAGAGGGCAATGGCACTGAGGAGGGAGAACTTCATGGGAAAATGAATAATGAGGAAAGGTATTGATTGTGGGCTGTCTTTACCATCTCAAGACACGTTTTATCGCCCTGTGCAACTATAGAACATGTGTTCATCTGAGTCGACATAGTACTAGTGGTATAGGTGACCTGAAAAGCCAAAACGTGTTATAAAAATTTCGGCAGATTTATTAAAATACAATACAGAACACAATTAACAGTCTCGGATTGGCCAAATTGTAACCAATTGACATTGCTAAAAACCACGTCGCATCCAACAGCACACAAACACCAACGAATACCTACATTACTTCCTGTTAGTTACAACTGAACTACATTTGGCAAGGCTTTTTCAAACGCACTTACAATCATTGAGCTACTAACCATACCCGAACTTTGATGACCCGCTAAGTTTCAAACGCTTTGCTGCTGCTGTGTGAACCCTTTCTTCATACAGCCATTCTTTACGACACATAGACTTGAATGGCAAACTCTCAAAGCTTCGGAGGTACATCCGAATGCTGCGGTTGTACCGTAGCGTCGGTAGAACCATTTGGCCACACGTTGCATCGTGAGAAAGTTTGAACGTGAATGTCATGTGATACTCATCAGCCAATCATTGCTTGCTATATTTGAATTTTGAATCATGCGTGCCAGGTGGTGTCGTCGAATACCAGTATGACGAATGACCCTTCGCAATTTTGTCGATCACTTATTGGCTAAAATGAAATTGACAGAATCCCTTTGATATTTTTTTGGCCACGTATAAAAATATGCAAGTACCACTGTGATCCAATTCCAATGCGGTTATATGTACTGACAGTAGTTCTTGTACTTGGCGTGATATAATTAATACTAGTACTACGTACTAGACGTGACACAATCGATGTAAGGCATGTTTGCATGGATGGCCCGAGCTAAACGACGGAACTGTGCATAAGGACGGGGTGTGGACTGGGTGTGGACTGTAGATGCTTTACACGGCGCACTCCGTCCGCATATACTGCCATCGATACGTTCAGGCTCTTCCGACGTTTGATGTTGGTCATTACAGTACAATATCAATTCCCCCACAACTCATCCACATGTACAGTTAGTTACTGTACTATGTTCCTTGGTCCACGTGGTAGGAATTTAGATGGAATTCTCAGACTGATAGAGGGGCGTAATGGCCTAGGTTAATTGAGTTTGGATTATCATTATTAACAGTAAGACCAATGCCATTACGCCCCTCTATCAGTCTGAAAATTCGAGGGAGTCATATGGACAAAAAGCCTGTTGAAAAAGTCAAGTAGTGAGAGTGGTTAGGGTGACTTTTTCGGTTATGGTAATCATCGGAATAAGGGTAGAGAAAGAACGAAATACCTTAAACTTGTTGTCGGCCCTATTACCAACCACCGATGGCATGAAGCGGACGTGAATCAGGATGTACTGGTGTTACTGCGAGTATGTAGCTACATGGGACTAAACCTCGAACGATTGCTCTAGCAGTCGTGTGAATTGCACTCCATGATACCAGACTCATATGTCAACAAGCCGCCAAAGTTCCGCGTATATCGTGCGTGGGTCGTGTTTCGTGCTGCTTCTGTAAGACATCTTCTATAGTCGAGATATATGTACTGCCTAGATATAGAATGCGTACGAAGCAGGAAATGGTAAGGTGGATGGTAACGTATGCGACATGGTAATTAGTTCCACTCGCCCCTCCATCAGTCTGAGAATTCCATCCAAATGCCTACCACGTGGACCAAGGAACATGATTGAGCGTACAATGGCCTTGGCAGGCTTGTTTGTGTCCACTACATAGCCTTGGGATACAAAACCGGTATTCCGAGGTCATTACTGTAAAACTTACGATCAGGTCAAGAGGTCAAGTCCAGAGGTCTACTTTGGTCAGCTGGATTTTATTAATAATAGTAGAACTGTAGGATTCATGAGCAGATAGAGTAAATTGGAATAACCTATGTGACTTCCAATAAAACTAACCATTTGGTTAGAGATGGACAGTTTCTCCACAAAGGACAGAATAACTCGATCTCCAATGAGCTACTACTCCGAGTGCGTAGTAAATAGAAAAAACAAGCTTGTTTGATAGAGTCTACAACTTCTCTCAAGAATCTACAACTTCTGGCAAGAATATCCAACTGCAACCATGATGAGTACAACAAGAATATCCAACTGCAACCATGATGAGTACAACTGCTATACCTAAACTTTGTATGCTTTGGTTATCAAGATCAGTTTGATGGATATGTCAAAAACCATTTACACACACTTACGTACTCCAGCTAGTGGATTCTAGGGGGGGGAATAGCTCATTGTCAATGGAGGTTTATTAGAATTTTAACCGGATATTATTCCTAACTTAATATTGCCTTCTCGCGTTATCCGGCTGATTGGGCTCACTCGGGGGGGGGGTTGGTTGTGTTTACAGTGTTTTCACGATCCGGTTATTTAACCGAACCGGGGGTCCTTTTCATCCGGATATCCCTTCTTTTCAGGTGTCGTGTGACGGTTTTTGAATTCGTCGAAAAGAATGGCGGGACCCGAATTCGAACCGGGGACCTTTGGGTTAAAAGACTGACGCTCTACCAACTCAGCTAATGCGACACCCGGGGGGAATAGCTCAGATGGTAGAGCATCGGTTTCTTAACTCAAAGGTCGTGGGTTCGATCCCCGGCTTCCCCGGATTAAATCCGCAAGGATTTATCCGTCCCTCCCCTGGGGAATCCGGATAACAAGGGCCGCGTAAGAAGACGAGGACCGAACTTCGAAGAAGATCGGTCGAAGCACGATGTATGAAGCGTTGAGCGAAGTAAAAACCGAAGAGTACACAGCGCCCCTGGTCGAGCAGGCGCGTTACAATTGCCGAAGCGGTTCCATAACATGTGGTTCTAGTGTCGGCCCTGGCGGAGGAATATCTAAAAAAACTAATCCAAACTCAATTAACCAATGGTACTAAATGTATTGGTTCAATAAAATTCAATTCTGCGGTGCAGTGGATAAATGACATTACTTCACTTGTAATGTAATGTGGATATACCGGGTTCAAATCCCACGCAACACGTCACTTTTTCTTTCTCACATATATATTGCCTTTTCATCCTACAACACTAGTACAGCTATCCAAGTCCTCGCAGTCCTGTCGTGGTCAACGAATCATGTAAGTGAATACACACTGAGTACAAAACGACACCAAGAAAGCACATGCAGGACTGGATGTAGAGTAGGGCCTGATTGCTTTAATAGTAGTGTACTAGTGTGCATCAAACCTCGAACGAGATCGTTTGAAAGTACTGTATGGTGCCTGATTTGAAATAGACCACCCTGACGAATAATCAAATAGTTTTAGCGATTTGAAGTTTAGAGCCTTGATGACCACCCGTGTAGCGATGTGACAGGTGGGTTAATGGCTTGCCACCACCTTGCCCGCACCAAGCTCCTAAGTACCTGGCTCATGGCGAATCCTAGCTAATGCTTGCCTGGGAATGTGTCTCAAGGGCAAGTATGGCTTAGAATCGCTAGCCTAGTGAAGTTCCCGAATGTCTCAACCACACCCGCATCCATTGTATACAAAAGTGCATATTAGTGTAGAGTGAAGTAGACTAAGAAGATTTCATAGTGATGAGGATTAAGGAGATCTTTGTTGATCTTCAGTTAATTCATTGTGCATTTTGCCCTAAACTACACACGCTTCCTCCCGCAGTGCTACTTCCTGGTTACCTCGCCCAAGCCCCGTTCAACTGCTGTAGCTGTACGTAGCCAGTGTTCTTAGACGGTTGTTGTGGTCGTTTGCAGAGTCTACACATCGCCAAAGGTTTTAAAAACGTGGTCTTTGCTACCCGTTACCTGGTGATAGTCTCAGCAACAAAATCCATACACGTTCTGAGTGATCTGCTAGTGTATGCCCCGTAGTAAGACCCGCAAGCCCCAACTCGCGGTCACCAAAGACATCGGCGACCTATTTGACTATCCGGATCTGCCGGTTAAGCTACGT